ATAATAGAGTTTTAAATCAAATTTTATTTCCAAGTGCAAGTTGGCAAAGTCTTTGCCTTCCTTGAAGAAGTTTGACAAGAAAAAATAAGATGTGGAAAGAGGAAAAGGTAGAAGTGGACTTTATTAAGTTGGATTGGTTGAAAGTTCCTGTGTGCAGCCAGCAGTGCCTACAACTGCTGCTTTTTCCCTGCAGCATGTCAGGTTGCCAGGTGGCCTGACCTTTCCTGGTCTGAAGGTTTAAGTGATGGAGGGCTTGGCAGACCTACCACAATGGAATGGGGTGGCAGTTCTCCCAGTATATAATTCCTAGAATGATTCTGGTGTGATGTGTGGAAGTCACTTTGTATCTTTAACTGTAAGGGAACTTACAGAGCTAGGATTTAATTGACATGGAGAAAGCTCCTTTTTCTTTTAGCTGTAGAGAGTTTTCTCAGAATTCATATAGGGAAACTAGCAAGACTACTGTTAATGTTTTACCTAGTTTGGTACATGCATAACGGAATAACAGCTTCAAATAATTGACTTGATGCCCTTCGGACATATGAAGAACAAGCATTTAAAGACATATCTCCTTTTAGTCATCATAGATTCCATTTTGGTCCTGGCCACCTACTGTATTGAATGCATGCATATTCTTATTTTAGTCCTATTTAGAAAGAGCAGGTGACTAATGGTGTCAGTTAAAAAGTAATTCAAGTGAATAAAGTCTGAAAATACGTTTTCAGTAAAGGAAAAAGGAGAATCTGAACTTGCATCCAAATTCCAGATGTGCAGTATTTTATTTTCTTTATTTACTCTTTTTCAAAAAACTGGATTTGGGGGGGGGAATCCTGAAATTAAATCATTTATTGGAGATTAACATAGGTAACATGATCATTTTCTCTAGGAATTGATCTGGATTGTACTGAAATTTAAGCTTATTAAAAAGTAGACTGTGCAAGCAGCTATGACACTTTATTATCTTAAGGAATTTTTCTATGCTTGTTATTTCATTCATTTTTAGGTTAAGAAGGCTCTTTTATTCTGCAGTCTGGACACACTCTGAACCCCATCTCCAGGATGCTGTATGTACACAATGGTTATTAGGCAATCCATATATCAGGAGAAGGGACACCCTCCCATAAGGTAAGATGACCAGGGTCATCAGTCATCTGTGCTGTTTTGGGGGAAAATCCATTTAGCTTTCACTTTTCTCCTTTAAATCAGCTAATGTGTACTAAATACAGCTCTTGCTGTACTTAGAAAAGAAAATCCAGGTTTGTTTTGGTACTGTTTCAATCTTTATGTTGTGTGGTAGACCTCATTTAAGTGCTGAGATAATCATCCCATTAAAAAAATCTGTTAAAGATGATTGTTTTGAGCATATAGTAATAATTTCCATTAATTCCTTCTGATGGTCTTTAACATTTTCTCTTGTAACTGAGAATAAGCAAAAACAAATTCTGAAAGGATTCTCGTCTTAAAATTTGTAAGACAAGAGACTTAATTTTAGTGAAGTAATTAAGTGAAGAGATGGGGGAAATCTTGTTTATTACAAAAACATTGTGAAGAAATCTCTCATTTCCCAATTATCTATGAGGAAACAGCTATTTGTGGCAGTAGCTGGGTATTTTAAAATTACATCACTTAGTGATATTATGAGTATGTATCTAATGACAGCATTTACAATGTATAAAATAACATAGGATATTTGTGCTCATAAGCTGTGATGATTTGACCTAGGTTAGGCTTAAGTTTGCCTTTATACAATCTATAATGGGAAGTTTTGCAAGATAAATTATCATTGGTAGCAAGATTATACTGAGATGTCTAACCTACATACGAGAATAAAATATGTCTTTGAAGGGCTTTATCACATAATTTTTTATTTTTAGAAATGGAAGCTGCTAATTAAGAGATTAATCTAATCTATTCCTTCAAATTAGCCCAGTTGGCATGGCTTCCTAGAAGCTAGTAAGTTTACGTTTCTTTATGTTCTGTAAAGCTTATAAATACACTAAAAAAGTTTTTGTACACACACATATGGTGAAGATGTAACTTCACGATTTCAATTCAGGCTTTTTCTATTTGTATGAAGGAAATCTCATTTTATATAGGGTTTAAGTATATACCTCTTTTGTGAACTATTAGAGAGTATGGAAGTTCACTGTACTACTTTTCCTTTAAAATAATTTTATCATGTGGTTAATCAACAGGTTGTTTAGATTCTTAGAGTTTTTAAATTGTATGGTCTTGTTACTTTGAACATTTATAGAGTAAAACTTCTGGAAAATGGAAAATAGAAAAATGTAGAAGAGAATGTGGCAAAAAAAAGAGGGGTAGCAAATTGTGCATCAAATAACATAATGTGGGGAGGATAAAAAGAGAAACAGAAATAAACACAAGGAAGGTAAATGTAATCCAAACATTGTACCCTAATTTACTTAACCTGGCCCACTTCTCCTTCCCACAACCTTCCACATTTTGGGCTTAAAATAAAATACTGTCAAAATACTTTAGAGAAAGCTTAAAGGTTTTTGCCTTTTTTTTTTTTTTTTAAACAGCTTCTCATCATTAAGTGTCTTTGGTCTTCATAGTATATGGATTGACCACTTGATACCCTGTATTTACTAACTGATCTGTGATAGAATCCTTGAATGGCTTGTAACTTAAATCTCCTCCGTGGTGCATCAAGTAAATCAGAACTTCTAAGACAGGTACTAATATGACTTCTCTGGTGTCTCCCATCTTTTCGCTGCCTGTCATCACCCCCCATTTTACCTAAAATAATGCCATTGTGTTCATAGGTTGTTTGCTTTGAGTTTTCAAAAGGCGGCAAAAGAAATTTTCTGTTTTAGGAATTTAGAGGTTTATGCCTGGCTTTCCTTTTGAAATTGTTCATAGTCTTAGGGAAATTATTGAAAGTTTTGATCTTAACAAATACATGTTAACTAGTAGTATGAACTGTCATTGCCAAAGTTTATTGGGAAAATTCTGTGATATTTAATGGACACAGTATCAGGAGCCAAGCATTCTAAATTTCATATATTCTCCCTTCCCTTAAAGGCTGATCCCTGTGACCTAATGAATCCTTTGTAAAAAGTGGACTCAGCTAGGATGTTACACCACCATTGTCGAAGGAACCCTGAACTCCAGGAAGAATTGCAGATTCAGGCTGCAGTGGCTGCTGGGGATGTTCACACAGTACGAAAGATGTTAGAACAAGGCTATTCTCCAAATGGCCGAGATGCTAATGGCTGGACCCTGCTTCATTTCTCTGCAGCAAGAGGAAAGGAAAGATGTGTTCGAGTATTTCTAGAACATGGAGGTGAGTTTACTAGAAGCAAACCTTTTTTCCCAAGGAGAAACTTAAAACGAAATTATATTTCGTTTTAAGTGTGTGCACACATCTGTGTAATTTTTAATGCTTCTCTTTTGTTAATACTCAACATTTTATTCTCCCTCCTTTGTGAAGTCTTGTTATAATTACGCTAAATTTTGTTTAAAACCAGATTGTTTAAAAGACCAGTTTGGTGAATGGGCTTTTTGTCTGCCTGTAACTATAGTTTTTATACAGCCAGTTTATTTCAACTAAGCAACCCTTCTTCAGGCTGTCCATTTGCTTTCATGTCAGAAGCAGAAGTGGTTGTAGTACCTACAATTAGAGAATTGCACAGGTTTCTGCTGTTGATAATTGCTCAAGCAGAAAGCAGTAGCACAGATCCCTTTTAACATCATGGCCCTAATGATACCCTGTCCTTTGAACTTACTTCTCTTTTTGTTTTGTATGCTTGCTTTTATTATTATTATTTTAGAATATTATTATTATTATTGCCTTTTCCAGAACTGTACATAGTTTCTGGATACCCTACAAAAAGATTGGTTATGAGGTCTAATTTTGTATAAATATATGCAGTTGGAGACTACATTTGACATTTTATGTTTTTGCTTTGGATAAACTGTCCATTCCCATAAGGTTTTTAAACTAATAATCGTCCTACACTAATTTGCTTTTTCCTTCAATTGAATTTCAACTTACTTTATTTTCCTAAAGATGGATTATATATATTTTATTATTTATACTCATGTTATCTCTGTAAACGATGGTGTAAAGCAGCTTGGTTAGGACTCAAGTTCCACACGTGCCCTTCTAGGGCCTGAATTGCTCATTAGCAGTGATTTAGTCTCATTTCTGAGGCACACTTTGTTATAAGACTATCCAAACTTACTTGCATTTCTGAAGTGCAGAAAAATGTTAGAAGTCCCACAGTTCCATGAGGGTCTTGTGAAATATGTGAATGTGTGAATATGGAGGCTATGAGCATGGACTAATTGCAAGTGATGCTAAACCTCAGAGTAGGAGTGTCCCAGGGACCCTGAAATGCGAATTATAGTCCTGAATAGTTGACAGGACTCAGAAATTCACAGGCCTGGGCCTGCTTTGTAGCTGTCTTCCATGTCACTTCACTTCACAACTTGAAAACCTTAGTTCTGAAGTTAATGAAGGGGAAACCTAAGCAGAATGCCAGGAAAAAGATCTGAAAAAACTAAAAGATGGGTGTAGGATCAGAACACTTAAAATTCTGGCAGTGCTTAGTAAGATGAAGACCTAGATCAGAGCTCAGTTTTTATTCCACATAGTCCTGTTCTTTTGCGCTTTTACCAGCCACACTTTAAAAAAAAAAAAAGAAAGAAAGAAAAAATTTAAAAACGTTCAGTTATTCAGGTGATACATGAATATTGTCTCCTTAAAACAAATGAAACAGTTCTTCCAATAAATTACAAATAAAGCCAAAATCCCCTTTGAACGACTTCCAGTCCTTGTTTTCTGCCACAGTGTGCAAGTAACCATGGGTATGAGTTTGGTTTGGTGCTTATCCTTCTAGATCATTTGCTAATACTGTACATGTACTCACAGAACTTGTGTGTGGTTTTTGAACATAAATGATACTGACTGAATAATTCTGCAACTGTTTTTTACTCAGCTATATGACTTAAATGTTTTTTTAATATCAAGAGTCTGCAAACTTTTTCTGTAAAAGGCCAGATAGTAAATATTTTAGGCTTTGTGGGCCCTACTGTCTTTGTTGTAACTACTTAACTCTGCTGTTGTAGCATCAAAGCAGCCACATATAGTATGTAAACTATTGGGTGTGGCTGTGTTCCAATAAAACTTTATTTATAAGAACAAGTGGTGGGGGGGGAGAAAAAAAAACAATGATGGGCCAGATTTGACTTGTGTGCTATAGTTTCTGAACCCTGTTCTCTCTGTATATTTATGAGTACTTCAGAAAGTTTGGGGAAAAATAAAATTAAAAGATAATACAAATCTTTCCATGAATTTTTTGAAGTACCTTCGTATATGCGTGTGTATATACACATATATATATTTTTAACAGCTTCATTTAGGTATAATCCACATAGCATACAATTCACTCATTTAAAGTGTACAGTTCAGTGGCTTTTAGTATATTCACAGAGCTGGGCATCCATCGCCACAGTCAAGGTTAGAATACATTCATTACGCCAGAAAGAAACCTTGAACCAATTCTGTGTTAATATATCTAGATTTACTCTATTCTTTTCAACTATTGAATCTAATAGCATTAACATGGATACACTACCATTTGTTTAACCATTCTCTTTAACTTATTAAGAATGGCTAAAATTTTCTCAGCAGGAAATTTTATTTTTTGAGAAGGTAATGCATACATGGTTAAAAACCAAATTAAAGCTACTATAGACTGTTTAATGAAGGGGAAATATCTATTCTTCAGCCTCAGTCCCTTCGTTTTCTTCTCAGAGGCCAACACTTTCATTGATTTCTTTTGCCTCCTGCATAGATAGTCTGTGCATATAGGCATAAATATTTTTCCGTCCTCTACCTTCTAGCCTGCTCCCCCTTGTTAAATGTTCTGTTCTGTGTCTTGATTTTTTCATGTAACAGTTAGCTTAGTGATAGTTCCTTGTCAGTTTATCACTGTATTTCATGAAATATATGTCACTTACCCCTGTTGTTGGACATTTTAAGTTGTTTTCTTTTTTTCTGCTACTAAAAACAGTATTAAAGAGAATGTCTTTAATTTTTTTTTTTTAACATATGTTGAGAGTTTACGTCTTGAATAATTCCTAGAAGTGCAGTCGCCAAGTCAAATTTTTTTGGATGGATATTGACAAATTGTCCTCCAGTTTCCTAATTTTTTTTTTTTCCTTTTTGTCTTTTTTCGTGTCCGGCAACGGATCGCAACCCTCAGTGTTGCGCCCGCACCTCGCTCAGCCAGTGAGCGGGAACCGGTCTGTATGTGGGATCCAACCCCTCGGCGGGAGCGCAGCCGCGCTCCCAAGCGGCGCACTGTAGCAGGGCGCCCCCCGGCCCGGCCCCCCTTCCTCAATTTTTTTGGTTGTAATACTTTGGGCTGTACTGACCCG